CGAATTAAATTCATTTGCATTTTCTATCTGCGCGCGTATCGTGAAAATTCTATGCATTTGGCGCAGCCAAAGCGATCAATATTGAAATCATACGAAAGGGAACGAGCAATGCATTAGAAATCCCTTCGATAGCTTGGCGTTCAAATGTATCCATCGATAAATCAATAGCGATCCTCGATCGTGCAAGAGTGAAACTTTTTTGCGCAAGTAGGTACAGTAAAAATTTGCCGATTCAACTGATCTGTCGACATATCGAGTAATGAATTTTGTGCTATAAAACGTGAGTCGGTTCTACGTAAAGTAATTAATTTTTGATAAAAATTATCAACTATATCAAAAGTTAATGTGAGTTAACTATAAAAAAAAGTTAAGTTGAGTGATGCGATTCCATTGGAAATGGATATAGTTATCGTCTGTCATATGCATAAAAAAAATTTAATTTTCCTTGTGTACAACATGAAAAGTGCAAATTATATAACACAGATTATATAACAGTAGGATAATATTATAAAATTCGATTCATCATATTTCCTTGAAATTGTGGAGAATAAAGGATTTTATCTAAATGTTTCAAAGAAATAGACCTTTTATTAGAGAAACAAATCCATTAAACTCTTTAAATATAGTATTATGGGCATAAGGGGGATAAAAGGAGAAGCTTGCTCCCACCCCTAAATTTTAGCAAGCAGCATAAATGATAAAAAACGTTTTTAGAACGAAAAATTAAAAACAAGTTAATTGGCCAACGTATGGTCGTGCGTTATTTATGTACGAAAGTTCGCCGAAGATTTTGAAAACTGACTTCAATATAAGTATTATATATTAATAAGTTTTATATGAAAGATAAATTTTTTTCCCTGATTAAAATTCTAGGTACAGCCCATTATCACTCATAAATACGCATATCGCAGAGATAAAAATAAAATTAGAATTTAAACGAGACGATAATGACCGCGACATCGTCAAGAGTCAATCATGTTGGATGGAGAAAAAATCGCTGCTACGATAATAATAACCGCGTGCGATTTTCCGCTCATTCCGCACGTCTGCCGCATCTAATTACTTGACGTATGCGCGAACTGTCAGCGAACTCCGCGCGTTTGCATTCAGAGCGCACCTTATAACCGTTCGAACAAATTCACGAATTATTCAGCACAGCATAGCTCTCTCATTCGTCAATTTCCATGTAATTGACAAATGAGAGCATTTCATGCTGATTTCCTTGAACATCAGTTGGAGCTTTTACGCAAAATCATTAAACGCGCACACATTTGTGTTTTGCGCAAATCTGTGCGGTGTAATGAATAATGGAGGAAGGAAAGTAATTTTCGGTAACAAAACGATACAAAACTTTGTATTTTATCAAATTGCAATCGCAAACATTCTAAATAGAGGAAAGAGTGATTGTCTTTTATCTTTTCCATGACAACGACAGCTTTTAACTGCAAATTGAAGATTTCCATTATAACATTTAACGTAGATAAATAAGCGTTTGAATAAGCGTTCGATTTTGTGATAGGTAAAATGCACTGCATAAAACATAAACAATCATGTTATATGTAAAGACAAATGTTAAAGTTTGGTATTTATATATTGGTAAAGATCGATGATGCAAACTTTCACTTGTATGTTCTTGGTGTCCTGTGCCAGAAAATGTGTGCTGGAATATATCTAATTGTATAAGTTTCACTTGCAGTTACAATAAAAAAGAGTAATGTAATTTTATTATGATTTATTCAGCACGAATCATTGAACATCATCACGATTACATAAAACATTCAATACGCGATAAAAGTCGCGCAATAAAAATTGTTATCCTATGAGTGAAGATGCAAATACGAGAGTTTTAATGAACGCATTTAATTCCTTTCCAATTGTAGGCAATTAAATGTAAAAATGGATTATTATTTTCTTTGTAATGCTGGAGTGTCCAAATTATCGATATTACAGTCGTATAAAAAACGTTTTTACAGGGTTAAAGTAGACACAAAGTTAGAAGGAGATGCAGTGGACTTTATAGTAAAATCGAAAAAAGTTAAAAACTTACTTAATTTTTTTTCGATTTTAGTGTAAAGTCCACTGCACCACCTTCTAATTTTGCGTCTACTTTAATCCTGTAAAAGAATTTTTTGTTCCATGTAATTAATTCCGAGATTTTTATACTACTATAATGTCAATAACTTGGTCACTCCAGTATTTCCTTAAGCAGTTAGATTTTCATCAAATATGCGGACGTGCATCTAAGAGTGTCACGCAGAATGGCTGGAAAATTGCTTGCATGCTATATTATACCATATAAATTGATCGCAATCAAAAATTTGCAAAGATATGCCAGTGTAACAAAAAATTTCACATACGTGTGTGTTTTTATTTATCTAACAATAAGTAAACGACATAAATGTATTTTTTAACGGAACGAGTTTTAAAATCTCTTTGATGGCCTTTATATAAGATATTGTTTTTCGAGAAAAGACTGACTGAAAACTATTGAAACGAAGAATGATCATTATAGATGGATTACACAAGCAAGTTGCAAATGGGTTTAATCAAATACGCTTAGGCAGTAAAACGGTTTATTATTATATCTCCGACATCGCGAATCGCATACAACAAAGACGTTGGCACATTAATTACGCTCGTATTAATGTAAAACACGCGCGTTGCATTGTTTTGTTCATTCTGGAATGTGCCCGTTGAAATACGTTCGTTAAACGATTCGGTGATGCCGTAAATTTCCAATTGCTATGCATAACCGTGCGATACATTCGAGAAACAGAACGTATCAAAAATTATAGAATAACATCTTTATAATCTCGTTATGTTATCAGATTGTTCCAAATTGAGAGAAATAATATAAATGAAACTGATTTAGAAAATTACAAATATGTAAAATAAAGTAATATTATCAATAATATAAACACTATTATTTAAACTACACAATTTATAAAAGAAAACTGTAAGAATTTTTTTTCGTATTTGTAGAATTGGTTTTTAGCTGATTTTGTATACAAATAAGCCATAAATACATGAATTATGAGTTTCGATTCCTTTAATTATTTAAACAAATCAGTTTTTCGTTATTATTAATAAAATGTAATAATTAATTTCCGACAAATAAGAGGATGTCTCTTTAGGAGACCTATGTCAGTATCGACGACTTTCCTCTATACAATTAGCACTATACAATTAGCACAAGATTATCTTCGCGGTAGTTATTTAACATCATCCGCTTTAAGTGCTGGTGAAGCGGTATTTCACGTAGCATCAAAATTTCGCCGCGGCAGAGAATCTCATTCTTCGGATTTACAATAAAAGGTACAAAATAATCAGGTTGGGGTGGCTTGTTATAGAAAAATATCTGTTACGCATACTGTACGTGCTTCGGGTGCAACTCGGGAACGATATCCTTCGGGAATTTGGCTGAATGAAAAGACCACTGCTGAAAAGGTGGGTGGACGCCGAATGGGTCGAACCTCGGTGAGGAATTGAATTACGTTTCGTTAGAGCCGGCATAATAAAAGGAAGATAATAGCCAGCGGTAAAATGGTACATCAAGCGTAGCTGATATCAGGGATGGTCTGCCTGCAAATTACAGGCGTATCATCCCAATTTCTCGTTCGTCTATTTCTATTTTATATTTCATGTTGATCAACTCGACAAGAGTATTCTAAAAAAAAAAAAGTAATTTTTCTTCATGGTTACTTTTTATCAAGTTTTATTTTGTATTTCCCTTCCCCTTATATAACAAAATTAATAAAGTTTCAAAATGCATAAATAAAAAATGTGAAAAAATAACGAAATGATATTAATGAATAAAATATGAACGGTTTTATCATATAATTTTACACTGAAATGAGAAGCGACTAATCGTGATAATATTTTAAACTGAAATAGCGTTGTTTAATTATACAATTTGTATAAATCTTGAAATAATAATAATAATACAAAATGAATTAATTATAAAAGTAGAGAGTTATTGAAAAATAGAGTAGCATAATAAAAATATTTTTCTATTTGTAACTTAATTGATTGCAATTTTTGCCAATCACGAGGCAGTTAACGAGGGTCGAGGATGGTCGAGGTTTTCTCACAATCGACTGTAATTCGAGTTCGATCGCCTATGAGACCACCAGAGAACCCGCCTTTTAAACGGCCTGCACGTTCTGCCTTTCATCTTCACGAGTCTTTCCTAGCTAGATATTACGCTTTTTTGTAGACCCAGCCAGAAAACGCGATGCTGCCGGCGATATCAGGCTATTTTTACGTCGCCAGATGATCATAAGGCGAACGGAAAAACGCTCACGAAAAATAACAGTTATGCGAGCAATAAGTCGACAATGTGCTTCGTGTGTGAGATTTACACACAGTTCATTAAATTGCCCATTTTGTTCAGGGAAAGTAAACAAAATTTTTGATTTATCCACATATTTATAGTTAAAAAATTATCATATATACGTGCGATAAATATTTGTTACAATAATTAAGATTCATATTACATTGCAATCCAAACAGAGCAGAATAAACATTTTATTTTGTAAACTTTTTAGTTTCCTATTTCCCTCTATTTCTCCAGTTTCTATTCAATGCGAAGATATAAAAGCAGAATAGAAATAAAAGAAAATAAAATTTGCCTTTGTGCGTGTGTACGCAAGTCCATAAAATAGAACACAATCAATTACTGACATCAAAATTGATCGATGAGAGAAAACAACGGCGACTTAAATTTAATTTACTTAAGCGATCGAGAATTGAAATTTATTACGAACGATTCGGCCAGAAGTAGTACAGCTTTAATTTTAATTTCCTGTACGCACGTGTGCGAGAAGATTAAATCGTCAGTAAAGGATATATCATGCGTGAAAGGGTTAATTCACTGAGCTAAACAAAGGTCGGGTGTATTGCAGCAACCCTATCCCCTAGGATAGTGGGATAAGTGATCGACGCATGTACACGGATTATCTTGTCGTGTGGATCAGTTATGGTATTTCTGATGGACTTACCATTGATCACGTGTACGTTGACACTTGCTCCCTCCGCCACGGTAGGAACGCAACTGTATTTTCCGGAGTCAGTGAACTTCGCATGCGTGATCTTCAATCTGCCGCACAAAAAGTAATACAGTTTATCGCTACGTTGTACGTGGAAGATATAATTAAAATTACAATACATATCTGATTTATGTAACTATCATTTATATTAAATCGGTCATGGTAATTGTAATATAGAATAAAACCACTAGTTGTGGATCATATAAAAAACAATTCATTTTTTTATCCAGAACAATATCAAATAATTAATAAAATATTTAATAGTCATGTGGTCTGTTTTCTGTTCCTGCACTAGACTGTTCTAGAACTCTCTTTCTCGCTTCAAACAAATATCAAACGTATATCTATCTCTTTAAGTTCCAAAAATGTACACTAGTTCAGCCACAAAAAACAGATCTATGATTGATCATAAAAATTACATTATGGATGACTTTATTCCATTTCATTACCGTTTTAATTTGAATTAAACAAAGACGATTATCTACAATTAGACCCCATGTACTAATTGCGGATCAATTCACCAAATGCTTTATTCTTTTTGGCAGCTTTACGACATCTCGCAAGAATAATAAAAATGATTTGCGCATGCATATTGTAATATATATAACGAAATTATAATTGATAATCCACAGCTAGTTTTAGAGTCTAATTGTGGATAATAATGCAATTTTAACATATTCAAATTTATTTAAAATTAGTGACAATTAAAAATCAATGATAATTTAAAAAAATTGATGAAAATTAAACATTTAGCAATAAAAAACAGTTAAATTACGAATAGTATAACAACTTTTGCATATAGACATGTATATTATTTTATATTTTATTTTGATATTTAAAACAAATAAATCTTTTCGGGATAGCATTTATAAGATTTGACAAGTTTTTAAACATTTTTATAATAAATTTCTACAATAAAACTATCGTGATAACATATAGTGATTAAACAACACCCGCGGACACATTTAATCTCAACTGAGCATAATGTTGATTTTTTTCAATGAAATCTTATGCTATTTACTTCCTACTATAAAAGGCATAAGGCAATTCTTATGATGTTACACTTTGAATGAATTTTTAAAGATATACATACGTTAGTTAATGTCTCGCAAATTTAATTAGTTAATGACATCAATAAAATGTGTGTCGCTGTTTCTAATAAATTAAATTCAATTGACACTTGAAAGTGATAAAACAAAAGCTAAAGAATCTTGTGATATGTACTATTTAATGAAAAATATTATAATTATTTAAATATAAAAAGTGATCCGGAATTTGTGCCTGATCCACATCTAGTGATTTTACCCTAAATGTAAAATAAAAAATTTCTAGATAATAATAAAGATTGCGCTGTTTTTACAGTACAAAAAATGCCGCTTTTGAAGAAAACAACATTTAGTGTCATAAGAGAAATACTACGAAGCTTCACCGTTTTTACACACACTATATATGAATGAATTTGCATTTTATTGTATTAATAATGAATGTTGAGCACATTTAGGTAACTAGGTGAAGATTTTTTATTTCATTTTTCTTTTACTGAACAGTTTATTTGCGCATATTGGCTTCATTAAAAATGTGACTTAAATTAAAATTAGAAAGTATTAATTTTAATCAAAAAAAAAGGACAAGATACGACAAAAGAAGTGACGTATACGGAGAAAATTATTACTTGATCGTTAGGGATGTCATGTATGGAACTAGCTCTTTGAAGTTTACTCTGTGAAGGATTTTCTTTCGTCTCGCTTTGTATGCTATCAAAGAAAAGTCATTTTCCAAGAGATAAAAATGTATAAAATTGTTTAGAAAATAACAAATATAAAATACAAATATAAAATTAACTGCAAATATAATATAAACATTTTCATATATAAATTCGATAAATATATATCATTCCGCCATTTTTAATAGCGGAATGATATGCATTTATATGAAATGATATAGATTTAATAGAATGAAATGTATTTCTAGAGAAATTAATATGCATAATTATACTATAAAATTATCATACTTTCTTCATTTCATAATCTACTGTATCATGAAATCATTTCACGTTAATATAGAATATTTAAAAGCATTTATAAAATTTTCATCAAGATCGTAATCGCAATGTATATATGTTCTATATAATTGTTTTGATGTCACGTACATTAGCGGCATATAGTTTCAGAGTTATAGTATAAAGTACAGGATCGTATAAAATAACTAACAACACAACTAACAATAAACTATCGTTAATTTAGTAATAATTATCCACGACATTAATAACGGTAGCGGTCCAATTACCTGTTCTCTCATCACACATATGTTTTTGTCAAAGGTATCTCTCATATGCATGATATAAATTTTATAATTCGCACGATCTCCAAATACGATTTAGAGATATTTTTATATTATTAATAAACTACGCAATATACGATAAAAATAACACTAGACATTTTTAGTACGCAATAAATGTACAAAAAGTGCACATTTCAAAAACATACTGATTATACACGATTACTAAACAATAATTGATAAACAAAATGATAAAAAGATAAGAATTCTAATTACTTACTTAGCTGAAATTTATAACTTTGTAAAAATAAAAATACTATATCTGCAAAATTGATTATATAAATAATGATCATTAAATAATAATTATTTAACTTTAAAACGTTACATTACGAAAATAACAAACTGCAGTATAGTAGAGGAAAGTCGCCGATATATTGACATAGGTCTCCTAAAGCGGCATCCCCTTATTTTTCAAAAACTATAACTATATTGCACTTTATTAATACAAATAAAATCGTGATCAATTTAATTAAAGAAGTACAAACTCATAATTCGTATATTTGTGGTTTGTTTCTATACCAAATCAGCTAAAAACGAATGCAAAAATAAAATTCTTACGATTTTTTTTTGCAAGTGCGTAGTTTAAATATTAGTGACTATATTATTGATAATATTAAGTTGTTTTAAATGCTTGTAGTTTCCTAAATTAGTTTTATTTATATTATTTTTTCTCTTAGCTTTTTCATAATACAACTTTAAATTTAAAACTGAGGTGCAGCGTAAACCGCCACACCTGTCTGTAAAACAGACCATAAGCTTAACTTAATCTTTATAATGTTACTTTATAGTGACAAATAGCTCTACTGGAACTGAAGGCAATCGTGCATATATGGAAAAATTCTTGAAAAACTATCGCGTTAAATATTTCCATCTTGCAGAACAGCATAAAGTAAATATGCATATAGTTCAATAAAAATGTTTTATAACGAAGTGAAAAGATTCTGAAATATCTTATGTACATTCACTTGTAGATACTTTATACAGATAATTCCTGTAAAAGAGAAAGAATAGGAATACGTAGCATTACTGCCTACTGTATCAGTTTTGGAGCCCATTTTGTCAGATGCTCATTTTTGCTTATCTTACGAAAAAATTAATTATTTCAAAATTGCAAACAATATTATAAAAACTGCTTATACTATCTGATAGAAGACACTTTTCAGTTTGTACTTATGATTTTAAAGTTTTATTTTTACCTTTTGTTTAAGAAAAACAAAGTGGTATGTCGGTATCGGCGACTTTCCTTTATATATATCCACCCATTATAACTTTCATAAAAATAATCATACGACGAAACACTTTTCTATCAATCGAAATGCTGCTATTAAGGAGCATAATTAAACAAATGTATGTACCTCTGATAATGAAAAAGATACAAACAATGGAAAAAGCATTGGAAAAGTATTGGAAAAAGAAGCTGGGTATGCCATATCTAAAGGCGTTTAAAAGTTATTAAACACACTATAGAATCATAATAATTTCTTATCGAAAAATTTCGTAATTATAAATTTTGTATTTAATTACTTTGTTGTAAGTGTCTTCAGATATAAATTTTATAGCTATGTATCGTAATAGTCGTCAATTTCTTTCACTAGGAGGTTTACATTGCGTTCGACCAAACTTCAATCAACTCGTTCAACGGTAATAATCGAGCAAGTTGGAGAGAACAGAATTTTTTTCATTCTTTTTCTATTTTGTTTGTTAGATTCGTTACTGTTATGTAACAAATTAGATTGATCGGACCAATAGAAATTGGAACGAGCTCGAATTCTCGTGGTGTATTGCGTGGCGGAAGGCTTTTGCGAGTGTGATGAGAACGCAATTCCTCAAATATGAATATGGAATATCGATTTGAACGCTCGATACGTAACACTCTAAAAAAGAGTCTGGTAATAACTATCAAATGTTAAGTGAAATAATTCCAATCAAATATTTGATTAATATAACCAAAAATAATTTTACTTTTCTCTAAATATTTAACACCAAACGATTGATGGTGTTATAATTATGTTTGGTAACACCTATTAAATATTTAAAAAAGTAAAATTATTTTTTATTATATTTTTTAATCAAACATTTGGGCAGAATTATTTCATTCAACATTTCATAGCTATTACCACTCTTTTTTTCAAGGTACAGAGAGAAAATTGCAGCCAAACTCGACGCGGAGACATTAATAAATTGTACGGTTGCGTTGCACTAATCGTGAGAGGGATAAACACGTAATTACACGCGCGAGCAATAAAGTCGCGGATACGCAAAAGTTAATCGACAGTCAGCTAATTTAACGGCAAACTAGCTGGAAAACCGGTCCGAATATGGCTCCAAATGATTCTATCAAGAGGGAATTCTCTCGCGATTGTTTGTTAATCGAATAAAAAACTACTCAAAAGTTTTCACATTTTTATCGTTTCTAGTTCAATAATTATCTTTGTTAAACCTTCAATTTGAACATACCGGGGGAGAAAGAATTGTGGAGATTTAACTTAACGCGTCTTTCTCAATAAAGAGGTAGATGTAAAAGTTTGAGAAAAGTTTTAATTAATATCATCAGTATACAAATTGTCGGTTACAAATATTAATAATTACCATCTACCATTAATTATTCTCATTAGCGTATTTCTAATAATCACGTGCTGTTTATAATTATCGTTTTTAGATAAGAAGCGACACATAGTTTTGCCAGGTACGTAAGATGTACGTAGATAACAGGGATATCCGTTACACGATATACAACGTCACGTGAAGAAGCGCACCGCTCCCAACAGATTATCGATTACTCATTTACTTCCCGTATTTCAGTAGTTAGCTTCATCGCGCAATGTAATGCATCGCACTCGTGGGACCAATAACCACCGCTTAAGGCTACAGTAACGCTATTCCACGTGCGGTTACCGCAATTCCGTGAACTGGATGTACCACGAAATAATTATTACGATGCCAGTACGACGACGAGCCATAACGGTGGACTCGATGTAGTTCGAGAGTAATGAAAATGTATAGCGACGCTGGATTAAGCTCCGCGACAGAGAACCGCCATCTTCATGGTAGTAGGAAAGATAATCTCGATACGACAGAATAAAACGTTATCCGGTTACTCGTTAATATTATCGAGAGCACCAACGATTTATGCGCGTGCATGGAAATTCAGGATTGAAACCAGTGCCAGGATTGAAAATCAGATTCGTAGATTAACTCCTCGCGTTAATGTGGAATTTGAATATCTCTTTATGAATGTGAATAATGTATTTATTCTGGAAATATTCTGGGAATATTATTGCCGGGATAATATAATGTTCATATAAACTCCTCATGCATTCCATTCTATTCGTAAATTTAAATTTGACACGAATTAAAAACGCGAATTTATAGAGAAGGTTTATTCATTTAAAAGAGTTTAAAAGAAGACTGCAGATATTTCTTTTTATTTTTAACCTTATTTGCGGAATGCCGATTACAGTAAACTCGGACATTTCTTCAACTATACTGTGAAAAATTGTTTACATAATAAATGTTTTTCAAAACCTTATATAATTTTAAATTAAGTAATTTTATTCCTCGTATACTTTGACCTTCAAAATGAAAAAAAAATCGTTCAATTATGTTAATTTTATAAAAACATATGTATATTAATTTAAAGTAGGTATAGAATATCAGTTAAAGGAATTTTAGAGCAAATACTATTGAGATGAACAGAGTGCATATTCTTCCTGCAATTTTATTACTTCTCGAATTACACAATAATATATATTATATTGAACGGACTAACTAAGTGATCTGAAGAAATTATGTTACATATACATGCAGAATTTGAGGATTGATGGCCTGGCTTGCGTAATTATATCTTGCGTTTCATAGAATTTAAATACTAATATTGAAAATGTTAATAATTTGGTTTACACAATTACGACGTACAATTTATAGATTTTAAATACTAACACTGATGATGATCCGATAAAGAGGTCGAAACGTTTGTTTAAATAACGAATATTTAATAAATTGTTATTGGCTCGTAGCCCTTATATAATATTTTCTTTATTTGAATTTTTTTCCCCATATTATCTATTATTAATTTTTAAATACCATTAGATTAGGATTAAACGTATCTAATTTTAACAAACGGTACATATCGCGTATGAAAATGTAAGTACCACCAATCATGTCACATCAACGACGCTATCATTATGAGGACGTTTCGCTCGCTGTACTTTCGGACAGTTGCGAATTTACTGAAAGCGGACGTTTGCATGACGGAAGTCGCGGGCCGACAGCTGCGCGACAATTAATTCGCTTCTTGAGCTGCGGCCCCGTAAATTTGCCCGCGCGATGTGTAACGGCATCGTCGTGACAATCGTCAATCACGTCCAAAAACGGACGCGCGACGTCGCGCGGCGGACACAACGGCGACGATGGTGACGGCGGCGCAATATTCGGACCGACATAAGCGACCTGGCTGAACAGCCAGGTCGCCCGAAATGCGGGGCATGTCCGATGCGTCTTCACGGTGCGCGGGCCACGTGACAAAAGACCCTGTTGTCTCGGATCTGCTCGGGACAATTAGAATAATCAGATGTCATGTGACGCCACAGCGTCGCGATGTCTACCCTCTCTCCTGCTTTCTATCAAGTAATTCCAATAGAATACTTTTATCTTGAATTCTGAGTACAGAAATGAGACATAAACAATAATTACACAAGCGGCTGTTTTTTCGTATTTCCAAACAGTTTTTAATATGTGCAGTTCATCCTTGTATTTTAAAATGCATTTTTTTGTATGTCTACACAGAAAAAAAGATTTTCTCTGCCGCAGCTAATTTTGTTATATAATACTTATATTTGTTGCCGTAACTATAAATTTTTTAACTACAACTAAGACATTAGCTATGAGAGAGAGAGACACCCATATTTTAGTTGTCCATATTTTACACCTGCCATTTAGTTACCACATGCAGTTTTTAGTTACGACAGCTACTTTCTTTTTTCTGTGTATTATATTTTTATACAATATTTTTACAGACAGCTTTTTAGTAGCCATCAAATTTACAAGAAATCGTAGATATTTATGAACAATCGTACGATACATACGCATAAAATTAGAATAGACCAGTCATAAGTTTTTACAAGTTTTACGAGAACACGTTACGGATCTTACGATTCTACTTAGAATTGACCCATTAATTACAGATACACAGATTTGAAAATAATTTTGTTGGACTAAATAATTAGATATGTAGGTCGTTCAAACTGATTAAAATGTCAAAACTTTATTCAGTATTGCTCATCATACTTGAGTTTCTTTCATAATTATTTTGATTTATTTTTAATTATTTTCCAACAAAATTATTATTTTCAGATCTGTAACTGCGTACATTTTTTTAGATTAGCATAATCATTCTTTCCCTGTAAGTTTAAAAACCTTGAAATATTTTTTTTACGTTTCAAAAGTAGGAAAAATGTGCATAGTAGGAAGATGGTTCTTTATGCAATATTTAAATCTTATTTTAAATATTAAATTGTAAATATTAAATTTTTAATGAGCCGCGCGAGTGTGGCATAGCAGACAGCGCAATGGTTTATCATGTCAGATAAGTTCCAGGTTCGATCCAAAATATTTACGCTCGTTTCTTCCGGAAAAGGTCGGTAACTTCCCGAAAGTATCCTTGTCCACAGAAACACCTCTCGAAAAATTCACCATTTGAAACCAGCATTAAAATTGTAGGTCCCACACGTTTGTGGCAATTGAATAATCAGCGTGCGCACCATAAGTATATATATAAGAGAGATGTAACACAGACCAGAGGTCTAACAAAAAAGGAAAAAGAAAAAGAAGAAATTTTAAATATTAAATTTCGTCTCATATCTACATTGCTATTTTATGCCAAATAATTATATGACATTAGTAATACCTATTAATGTTTTAAAAAGAAGTGGATTTACAGCAATATTGAATTAACATTTATATTATATACAGCGTAAACGAATTGTACATTTTAATGGATGGAATGAAATTTCTGTCATCATTGTTACCAACGAATGCTTTGACGATATATGTATCGCATATTTTTAAGGTAGTTACAGTCCCGTGAAGCCACGGGTATTTCGAAATAAATTAATTTGAGCGTGGGATCAGTTTTTCAAAGAGCCACGACGACGTGTAGGACCGGCGGGACAACCACCCCAGCACGCCATTATTTCTCATTATTTCCCCTGGGCGCGGGAGGGGATAAGCGGAAGACCATTTATTTATTTCGCCGGCAGCTCGAAAAAGATATGGTTACAGCGTGTGGGATGAAATATTATACACGCGACGCTTCGATGAAAGGATTGTCGAGAGAAAAAAAAAATGCTTTGACGAGGAACGACTGAAACCAATCGCGCTTGACGAATATTTACCGCGCCTGATGAAGTCGCAAGAAAAAAAAAGTAGCTGAATGTGATTGATATTACATTTTAACACTTCATGACGTTTTTCAACTGTTCGTCGGTCGAGCTTATTTTAACATGGAGTAAGCGTGTTATCGCGTTGCGAGTCCTTGGCTGAACAATTTTACAAAATTGCGACGTGCATATCGTTCAGGGCGTAACGTCCGCCTGGTCGCGTTGTAGAATCCAGCTTTTAAAACGCACCAGTGATGCTGTGACAAAAATTGAAATATTTAAACTGCGTTAAAATATGACGGCCGCAAATGTATGGCGCGCGTGATCCTTATTTTTTATTTATTCGATGTATCCGCCTGACTGGAGCCGGTGTAAAAAATTAAATAGCACTTCGTATAACAATATCACACGGATGCGCACGTTTATGAGAGTTCCTCCGTGCGGAAGTGATGACACTGAAATGTGCGACAACCATGACGAGCTTTTTTTCTATTTTGTTCGTAGTGTGCAAACAAGTTACGCGTTAACTAAGTTTTTGATATTTAAAACAGAAATAATTGTATACTCTCGCTGTCGCGAGAGAGATACACGATCGTATACGAGGTTTACTTATGAAACGATTGATCATATCGACAAATTTTTGTCCACTTTTTTTCTATAGTATTGTACAACATATATTTTTCTCTATGCAAAGCGAAATTTTATTATATGCACCCTAAATGTCTTGTGGTGAAATCTCACTCTCCAAAAGAGTGAAAATGTAATCACCCTTGAAAAAAGTGAAAATATTTCACTTATTGAAAAAAAGTGATAATCTTCATTCTTTTTAGACTAAAATTTCACTTTTTTTTGGAGTGAGATTTTACTCTTTTAAAGTATTATAAAAATTCACTTTAAAAAGAGTGAAAATTGTCTCTTTTTCAAGAAGTGAAATATTTTCACTTTTTTTTCAAGGGTGGTTGCATTTTCACTCTCTTGGAGTAAGATTTCACTGTAAGAAATTTAGACTGTAATTATTGCTAAAAATGATAGTTTCAAATCAAGTTAATTATAACAATTCTTTAGAAAATAAATGGCTTAATCATTCATTCGTACCTCGACGTGAGGGCGTCGCTCCATTCCGTCTCGACGGTTATACGGGGCTCCGTTTCGATGTCGTTTTCTGATCGCGGTGATGTCACCACCGCCTCACTTCCTTGATACCAAGCTACCGTTCCCAGATCGTGAGGACCTTGCGACATGAGACACGTCAACGTCAAAAGACTTCCGGTCTTCACGTAGATATCAGCCTGGCCAATTATTTTGGCTCGCGCTTCTGCAACAGAAAGCAATTTTGAGTTTAATAATGACATCATAGTTCCAAGAGTATCATGTAACTTAAATATCGATTAAAGATTCGCTCAAGAAGACTCACGAAGTTTAAGAACATCTTTGCACGTATCTGTGTATACGCGCTTGATAAAACATTGCCGCACCTGCTTCTCTTCAGGAAAAATACGTGATTGTCCATCACGAGAGATTTTGCGATCACGAAGTGCAAATGTAATTTTACAGGATATGGCGAGACACAAACACATAAAACAGCAGCGTGCGGGAAAAATAAATCGGCGAGAGACAGTTTTAATCATCGGACGTTCGTTTACGCGAGTTTACACGTGTTGCATCGAACTGCTCGATAAAGCTATATCACGATGTAATAAAAGGTGCGTGATTAAGTTGAAAAAAATTGATGGCGAACCACAGACATGGCGTTATTGCTGGTGCAACGGTGTCCGATTAAAAGCATCGATAATTGATAAAATACGACCAATTATCTACAAGCGGTTTTATAATAGTTGTATTAAAAGAATATTTATTACATATTAAAAATATAATATATTCATAAGAATACAATGTGCATTCCGTATATTTATAACCACAAAATAAATAGTAGTTATTCTTTTTGTGAGCAAGCTTTAATAACTTGGCAGTATCTTCGTAGTTTTCTGTGATATTTTAGCATCGTAAAGTCACGCATTATTTAATTCTTTACATAGTTGGAAAATTTGTGTTAAATTTAACACATTTCGTGTGTCTCAAGCGGTTCATTCAAATTTTTGTGCTACTTTTTAATACAAAAACAAAATGGAAATGTCAGAAAATAATATAAATATCATGTAAACAAATTAATATAAAAATATGACACTGACACAATTTGTAGCAAACTATGGAAGCGTATTTTTTTTCAGTAAAATTAATATTTATAGTATGTTAAATTAACATGTATTTTATTCATTTATCTCAGAATTTATTTTTCAAAATATATTATTTTTATGTCATTTAGTCACTTGGGTAAATTATATTATTTTGACGCAAAGAAATATTGAATACCAATTTAACACAAAATTTTAACAAGGACTTGATCGGTTTTGACACAAATATAAAATGTTTTTTGCTGCGTACCTTGATATTTATTATAAATTATACATTTTTTAATTCATAATAAATTATTTTTAATAGTAAATATCGATTTGCGATCGCATCGATGCATCATCTGCATAAAGAGACGCTCTAAAAAACGTCGACGGTGCACCCCGATGATGTTCGATCGATAAGTCACACAGCACACCTTTCATCCGTAGAATTCTCCTCGTCACGGTTAGCCGTTCGGATTTTATATCACATTGCGATGACCGGGCGCATTCTTGCGGAGCTGTCATTCCGAGTCATAGAACCATGTCTCGATTCTATCGCAAGAGGTAAAATGGATGTGTCGAATTTGAAAAAGATGCGTAGCTTGGCCTGGCAAAGCGATAAAAACGGCATTCGAAGGCAAACCATCATCTATGTTACATGACCAACTTTCGTACCAACGTCACAATACTATCTCTGAAACTCCGATCGACACATAATTTCGTACGGTTAATGAATTATAAATATAGTCAGTACGACACAATTAATCACGCAATATAATATTTAATCAAACGCAATATAGTATTTACATAATCGGTTTATCGTAATTCAATAAGCTTTGATTTGTGTCTGTAATATTTATATGGAAATGAATTTTTATTATAAGTACTTTTTCATCAAATATTTTACTAAAGTAGAATTTCTACTAAACTCTCATAAAAAATTTCATTACTTAAAGAAACAATTATATGATTGTCAATTTAATGTATGTGAGGAAAATTTGTCAACTATTGAAAATTTCTGCAAATGTTCATCAAGGAAGTTCTTGCAATATTGCCTTATTTCTGTTGCTATATAGATATCATTGGCGCCATATCATGCGAGTTGACGGCGTCGTTGATGTTTTGAATATGCTGTCAAGATTAGAAGGGATAGAAGATCTTCACAACTTTTTTTGATACTGACACTGTTAAAAAAAGTGCTCTTTTTGTCCTTCTTAATTATAATTCAATTTTATATTTTCAAAATGGAACTGTGCAAATGCAGATAAAGATAAATATTTTATCATATTATCCTTGTATTTAATTTAGACTAATATATTAAGAATTTAATTAGCATTTTTTAAAATTATAAAAAATACTTATTTGAAGAGCACATTAAATAATGATTAAATAAATTGAAAACAGATCTTCTTTACGATTGAAGGTTATATCTTAATAAGAATCTACATTTCACATTCTACGGATCGTATGAGTCGTGCTTAAAGCGATAGCTTTTCCATGTCGTCCACGTCTTACCGAAAAGTCTTTTACGAGGTTTCGATGAGGCCCGACCAAGTTTCACTGAAAGATCGCCGTTTGTGATGCAAAAGATGCGCTGACCGTATTCTGACAGGTCGTTTTTTTCCACCTCGAAAGGCCATTACCTTTACATTACGCTGTATTGGAGATTAGTTTCTTTGTGACCCGGCGGCGCATCTATCTCTCGTTTCCTACTGTCTCCTACATGGTGTTTACGCTGTTCTAGATCGATAGTCTACGATGGTATTTTGTACGGAGCAAGGAGGAAACGATTGTGCTTCTTCGTAGTTTTTGTACGCAACACGCAAACTTAAACTTACCGTTAATTCATCGTCATATTTCACGAGTAATACAAGTCGGTTTTCAATTTTCTCTTCCTTACGAAAGAAATTTACGTACAATAGCAGAAACAAAATTTTTTATTTAAAATTATTTTTATATTATTTATTCATACATTTCATATATAAATTTCTTGTTAATTAATTAATATAATTTTTATGTTAAATTTAAGTTTTCTTCTCGTCAAAATTTTCTAAAAATAATCCGGATACCTTACTTTCAGAATTCTAATTGTTTAATTGGAACAAAACGTAAACAAAAATGATAATATCTGTAATTTTGTTCAGAGATTATTCCTTATGTTATTTTGTTTTTTGACTAATTTTTCATCCACTGGGTAATAAGATAATTTTAACGAAACAGAAACACCTGGAAAGTTACGGTTGCTTCAATGTGTATCTAATTGCACCCGCGTTACAACTGTCAGATACATAAACACAGCCGGCTGGCGCTAATGGAAGTTCAACGTGGCAAATAATCGATTCCAGTTTGCGCAACATTACGATGATGTAGATTACGCGAATAATTCTCAGTTCAGTTACGTATCATCGTCGGCCGGCGTACTTGCCAGGATAATTACTTCGCGCAATTTGTGCTCACGTTTACAATAATAACAATACTAAATTAATGCATTTGTATGGAAGAGAGATAATAATTATATGTGCGATCATTTCATTTGCATTGTATGTTAATTTATAAAACAGCAGCAAAAGAAAAAGTAAATATTTTTATTTCTCAATTTTTATATTTCTTAACTTCAATATTGTATTTTTTTATAAAAATTAAAGATTCGCGAATATATCTGATGCATTTGGATCTTCAGAATTTCTTCGAGTCTAATTGAATTCAACTTGATTATTCGATAATTTTAAGATTATAAATCATATCACACAAAATTTAACTGTACAATCTTATGTTATTAATATCTATATTAAAAAAATTGATTATTCAATATATTATACATGTAACAGAATATTCTCAAAGTTATAAAGTAATCGGATTCCACAACTACTAAGAAAAAAAAAACACTGACTACAAGAAAGCATCTGTATATTCCCAATTAAGAGCTAATTACTAACGCATGTGATGCTACTTTTAATTGTTGTCAAACTTCATTAGCCGTATTTTCGTTATAACTAATATTATTGCACAGAGATATGCAATATCGTGCCTCTCTCCATTCAAGATTACGCATTTCGCGATCTTCGTTGTAGCTTTGTCTCCAGGTTGTTCATGCGCGTGCTTGCTATTCACCAGTATAAGGAGAAATTGTGTAGAGTCTGAGTGCTAGTATAGTAGTAGAGAACAGATTCCAATTTACAGCGCGTAGGAACAAGGAGCTCTTAGATGCAGCTAATCCGATGTACGGAACGGCGTACACGGATGTATCAGCCGTTTAAGCTGCTTAACGTCAAAGTGACTTGAGATGCTTGCAAGTAGGAAGTTCAAGTGGGTGTAACTTGTTTTATTGTATGACACATGTTATTCAGACGGTTGTAATGTTGTAAATGATACTCACGCTAGATGAACGTTTGGCGTTATAGAAATACCGATGACATGTCGACGTAGCAATATTGCAGTAATAATCAACAGTATTTTCTCGATATTTCTATTGTTTCAAGTTCATCATAAGAAATTGACGGCTGCTTCAAATTTCTTTTTACAGAAAATTGATCCTAGGAAGTTGACGCAATTTTTTAGAAATAACAATATTACAAACTCGATTTGATATCGATTTTTAAAATATATTAAAATAATATACAAATGCGACGGTCATTTTTCGTTCTATCTAAGAGATATACGCGTTATAAGAGATTCACATATCGAAAGAGGTTGGCAAATGTTGATCTAGTCGGATACGCAATGTCCTTCGCCGGAGGTATATCTGGTGAATCGACTTATCACTTCGCGACGGCAGGTTCTTGGTACATTTATTTTATTCTCCACGAAATCCTCGTACGGTGAACCAATAAACTGGTAAAGTTCCGTTCAGGCGAGCTGAATCGCGCGAGGCACAGATTGAGTTCTCAGTATATCTGTCGCGCTGCAGCTCGAATTCGTCTCGAACTCGGTTAAAGTCGCGCACAACCGATAGACAAGGTTTCTTGGACATTGTTAAAGTTAGAAACACAATAAATCCGGCCGATCTCTGATATAAAATTTTTCAGTTGTCAGGAATACACAGTGGCCGAAATCAACGGTATTTTCTCACTGAATCGACGAAGGCGAGGCAATACAAATAATTCAATGATATAAACATTTTTATTTGCATAAATGTACAGAT